TGGTAATTTATTAGGTTCACTTTTTAAACTACTTTCTTATGCTTTTAAAACAAAAATTTGTATCCGGGTATAGTAAAATCTGCCAACAATAAATTGTCATGTAAATGTTTCCTCACGATTTGTCATGTGTTCCTGTCCTGTATTTCTGTTCACTAACACATAGCATCTTTAGTACCAGTGCATGTCACACGATGGTCTGGAAATGTACTCACCTGTTACTGCTGGACACAGGGCAAATGGCATTTACACAGTACAACATTGAAAGATGTTAAGGTTCAGAATCCGTAGGAATACTCAAACATTGCTCTGTCTGGGTTCCGGGAGCCCAGGCCGCCCCCACGCTGGGTCCTGACAGGCCTTCCTCTGGGAGGAAGGACCCCAACCTCGCAGGCCCAGCGTGGCGTGGGCGCCAGGTGAAACGGAGGAGAGAGGAGCAGAGACAGGGCTCACTCCACCCTCCAAGCAGCCCTCCCGGCCCCGCCGTGCTCACCACTGCACAGGCTGCCAGTTGGGAAGGAAGGGCCGGAAGCCCGTGATGCACTCGAAGGCCAGGGTGCCAAAGCTCCAGTAGTCGACGGTCACCGTGTACTTTTGCTGCTCCAGCAGCTCCGGGGCCTACAGCGACACAGGGGACATGCCTGAGCCGCTCTGTCTTGAGAGGGCAATGGCAGGAGGGAACAACCAGCTCACACTCCACCCCCACCTTTCCTGGCTCCACGCCAGGGGGCACCGGAGCGTCCACTCAAGGGTGAGGAGGGAACCCCTGAGCACGATGAGGGGTACACCTACGATGCTCTTGTCCCCTCACTGGCGCTAAGTACTGAAGGAAGGGCTGAGGAGTCAGGGCCAGAGCACATCATGTACCCTTCGCAGCGCTTTAAGCTCTCCCCTTTAGAAACGAGGGCTGCGGCATTTCAGGCACTTACTGAAAACTAACTCAACGCAGGGCACAGCCATGGTGCTGTGCAGAGATGGGAAGACAGACAACATATGACAAAGGGAGACGCGGCCAGGCCGTATGCACCAAATGCATCTCACACACATTAAATGCTAACACAGTCTCCGGAACCAAGCAACATGCAGTCACGCAAAGGGATGGGATATTTAGAATCAGGCAGGAAAAAGCCAGATGCGTGACTGCTGCCGAAGCAGAGAGCCCGAGTGACCAAGTAGGGGACATGGCACAGGCAGGACCACACCGGGCTCAGAGGAAGGCTCCTCACATCAGCGGGTGGGAGGAACATTCCAGAAAGGACCATCATGGGCAGAAGCATGGAGACAGGCTGTGCACCGTCTGGTTGGAAATGTGATGCTGATAAGCGAGGGCCAGGGAATCCAAACCAAGAGGAGAAATGAGGGGGTGGTTGGGTTCATCTCTACCGCCCCAAAGCCTCTACTCCACAGAGCAGGTGCTCACCTGGCAGAGCCCTGACCCCAGGGACAGGACAGGCAGGAAATACAATACACTCACAAGGACTTCAGATCATTTCTTTTTCTTTTTTAAGAAATTGATCAGAGATTTCAGCTCATCCAATCCCGTGGCTTTCAATCTATTTTGTTTTTTTCGAACTGGACTCCCTCATTCAATCAAAATCTCGCTGGTTGCTGCCATCAGTAAGCAATCTGTGACAGGCTGCTGAGTGTGCCTGCCCAGCCCTTCTGGAGTCTGACGGTCCCTCCTTCCACACGGCCACCACCAGCCCTGGCCTGGCGCAACAGCCCCGTGACGCCTGCCCATGGTTCACTCCTGTTTGCTGCAATTCATTCTCTGTGCCGTAAAAACTCGCTCCTTCTCCAACTTAAAACCCTTCAATGTCTCACCAGAGGTTTTACCAAAAAGTCTAAAATCTTTAACCCAGCCAAAATGGCCTTCACAATCTGTCCCCTATTATCTTGATCCCCGGCTTCAACTCGAGACACTCTCTTCCTTCTTCACTAGGTTGTGGCCACGCTTGCGGGTCTTCCCACGTGCCATCCCTTTGCCCAGAATTCCCCCCCGCTCTGCTCCCTCTCCCTCCCCCACATCCCCCTCCTCCTACTCACCCCCAAGGTCTTAAGACTAGATGAGTGCCTCCCAATGTATATTCTTAACCCCCTGCACTTTTCCTTTGTAGCTGCTACCGCACTCTAACTTCCTAGTTATCTGCGTAAGCATCACGGTGATGCCTGCTTTCCTGCTAAGCTCTGAAGGCAGGGAAACGCTCGACTTCCTCCTCACTGAGTCGCCAGCTCTGAGCACAGCACCTGGAAACAGACTATACCTGACCATCATTCTTAAATGAATGACAGACTCAAACGGAGCCCAACATGCAGCCCAAGTAACATAAAGAAAGATTAGGAAGCTCAGAGCTCTGACTCCTCAATGGCCCCTGCGAAATCGCAGAGCAACTGTGGCCTCTATAGATCAGCATGAATCTTGTTAAAATCCTTTATTTTCAGATAAAATACTGAAGCACAGAGAAGTTACAGAATTTGTGTAAGGGCACACTAGCAGAGCCCTCTGGACATCAGAGAAGACAGCTGTATCCTTTCATTGGGCACTTGTTGGTTAAAACTGCTGACTTGAACAGATTACGGGTCTGACCTCACGCAATGATTTCCGTGCATCTGAGAAACATCCCGAGAGCTGGTGAGACGCAGGGGCTGAGGGCAAGGACAGAAAGGAGCCCAGACACGCCGGCAAACAGAGACTGACACAAACATGCAAGTCCCATTTCTTACCAGGTACTGCAGGGTCCCAACAAAGGAAGTACAAAGACTGCCCTGATCCAGTTCCTTGGCATATCCGAGGTCGATAATTTTGTGTATTAACTGAAAAAAAAAGGGAAGAGGAGAAATCTGAAGGTTTTAAGAATACACTCGTTCTACAAGGATTCTGATTATTTGCCGATAGAACAGAGGTATTTCTGAATTCCCAGGTGGTATTGCATCCTGAATTCCTGAGAGCCACCAAATACAGGAGAATGTCCTTGACACGGTGGATTTAGGGCAAAAAAAAACACACGCTGTAAAAATGCTAGCTGTGTGCTCTCCCGTGCTCTGCCACCAACCATCAGAGAGGGCCGGAATGAAGAGACCAGGTACCAGCCCTCGAGATCGCTAAACCTAGAGGATGCGGCCAGCCTCTTCTCAGTAAACGCCTTTAGTTCTCACATCCTAGAAGCACTGGCAGGAGTGTGTGTGAACCGGAACAGAGGTGAGCACCACGGGAGTCCCGGGTCAGGCCTTGGATGTGAAGGAAGCCGTATCAGAAGGGATTAGGTGACCCAGGAGCTGAATGACAACATTCCACTCAGCTGAGCAAACAGGGTGAGAGAACACAGCGTCAAGCCCCACGGGAGGCAACCTCCGCACCTGAGCAGGGCGGCCACAGGAGGGTTGCCCAGAGCTCTGGGGCGACTGCAGGCTGGACCAGGCCCGGTAGGCAGGTGCCAGCTCCAAATGCCTCTTCCCAGACACATCCAGGACCAACTGATAGCTGGTTTCCATCTAGCATGGAAACATGAGGCTCTCAAAACAAACAGAAAACAGAAAGCCTATTTCCAAGTGCTAGTCCCAAAGGCTGGGGGTGGAGGTAGGAAGACAAACATTATTTTCCTTATCAGATTCCTGCAACTTGGGCAATGAATGTGATCCATTCAAACTTGCCTCAATGTGCAAGCAGGAACTTTTTGCTGAATTCTATTTCAAATCAAAAAGCATTCCCAGAGAATCAAAGCGTCACACTAGGAAATGCAGATAGTAATAAAAACACACACACCCAGCAGCCTTCTTTAGCTGAGCAGCTTCCCAGGGGCAGCTCCCAAGATTTCTGCGCCCCAGAGGGCCACTCACTCTTTGCTCTCCTTGCTGCAGAACGATGTTCTCTGGCTTTAGGTCCCGGTGGATGATTCTGTTTTCATGCAGATATCTAAGCGCAGAGGCTGGGAGGATGGAAAGGGGAGCGAATTTTTATTAAACCTTCTCATCTCAGAATCTCCTATCCTGTAAAAGATAAATACCGTGTGCCCCTGAAACACGCCCTGTGACTTTCGGTGCACAAACTCACGGTGGAGGGAAAGGGCCTCGGGCAGACACCCCTCGGGTGGAGCTACGGGCTCTGCTGCGAGAGCAGAACTCCACCACCACAAGGATCTGGCTTATTCGTGCAAGGAATTCTCAGCCTTGCATCGCTGAGGTCGCCAAGTGCCGTCCAGAGCAGCGGTTCTCAAACTGCAGTGCCCAGAACAGCAGCAACCAAACTTGTTAGAAATGCAAAATTCTCAGCCCCCACCCCAGACCTACTGAATCAGAAACTCTGGGGGTGACCCCACGGTCTGCGTTAACAAGCTCCCAGGTGATGCTGATGCCCGTAAAGTTTGAGAAGGGGAACTTCTCTGGTCTGATGGCTCAAAAATCAAAATTCTACCACGTGGGAAAGGGAGACAGGCCCTTCAGGGTGACAGTACTATGGTCACATGATCTGCAGTCCAGTGAGGTCAGAGGTGGCGTTGGAAGTGGGGACGCGTGAGATGAAGAAAACGGGACACCTCTGACACATCCCCACAGCTCAGCATGCGCTCCCACGGCCCTCCTGCAGGTCCTGCGAGAGACAGAACGTCAGGGACGTGGTCCCCAACGACGAAGAGCTTGGAACCTGGTTGGGAAAGACGCAGCCTGTGCAACTCTGGCTCCGAAGTCATCTGATACCCACAGCTTCTGCTGTGCTGACATCACATGAGGAGGGATGACATCACATGAGGAGGGATGACATCACACGAGGAGGGGATGACATCACACGAGGAGGGGATGACAGCACACAAGAAGGGCTGTGGCACAGCACTGAGGGACCCATCTGCAGCTCAGACTCCAAGGACGTGATTTTTACTCGTAAGAGAGGTTTAATAACTTTAACAGAAATCCTAGCCAAAAGATTATAAAAGAAAAAAATGGAATAATTAGTATTGGAAGGAGATAAAATTATCTTTATTTGGAGATGATATGACCATCTGCCTAGAGAACTCAATAGACTAAAAACTGGAAATCATTTAGTAAGTCATCTGGAAGCAACGAGTACATACAAATAGACAGCTTTTCTCTATGTCAGCTACATCCAGTTGAAATGGAAAAGAAGAAAACCCCACTCACATTAGCAACTCTATAAAACATCATGGGATAAATTTAGCAAAAACGTAGTGTTATATGAGGAAAACTACATGGCACAAAGAAAAACAAATACAAATAACATAAAAAGGTTTTAAAAGTTTATGGCGAAAGATGCTATAAACAAAGTCAAAAGATAAGGAGCTGGGAAAACAGTACTTACGACACCTGCCAGAGTAAACATGCCCAATGGACAAAAAGCTCTCACAAGTCAGTGAGAAAACAACCCAGTAGAAAAATGGGCAAAGAACATGAAGTGCCAATTTGCAGAAGAAATATAAATGGTGAACAATTACATGAAAAGTTGCTCAAGCTCACTGATAGTCAAAAATGCAAACCAAAGCAACACTAAAATGCTTTTTTCACTTCTAAGAAGCAAGACCTTTTGATGAGAAATAACGAGTACTCCTCTACATTCCTGAAGGAGTGAACAGTGGTGGGCATTTTGGGGAAAGTAATATGGCAACATCTATTAAGTTATTTATTTATTCATTTTTTAGACACTAGGGTCTCACTACATTGCCCAGGCTGGACTTGAACTCCTGGGTTCAAGCAATCCTCCCACCTCAGCCTCCCGAGTAACTGGGAATTAAAGGCCCGTGCCATCACGCCCCGGCCATCTGTTAAATTTTAAAATACATTGGTTGACCCATTATTTCCACCTCTGGGAATCTAGCTTATAAAATCAAAAGCATCATGACACACACATAAGGATACTTATTGCCCAGCTTGGAGTGAAACAGTTAGAAATAAACTGAAAGTCAACAACGAGGAAATGGCTGAACGAACTATGGTAGATATGCGTCGTGACAGTCTGCCCTTAGGGTTATGCTGTCTGACTCAGAGGGGTGCCAAGGACGCACTGCTGAGTCAATGGTGTGACCTGGCTTCTGTTTAAACACTAAGGGGTTTAACATGGAGCCCTCTCTGTGCCACACGCACGTTCTCTCTCTCTCTCACACGGCAGGGGCTCTGTGCGGAGCAGGGGAACGTCTACAGAAACTGCATCATCAAACACACTCTGAGAAGACTCTCGGCTGAATGTTTCCTGAAGACACATTTGAAAGTCAAACTGAGAGAGCACACGACTGACTTCCACCTTATTAGGGAGTTCCAGATGAGAACGTTAAGCTAAACAGATTGAGTATCTCCTATCTGAAATGCTTGGGACCAGAAGTGTTTTGGATTTGGATTTGTTTTGGATTTTGGAACATGTGCATGTTCATAATGAGGTATCTTGGGGATGGGACCCAAGTTTACACACGAGATTCATTTATGTTTCATATACACCTTATACTCATATAGCCTGATGGTAATTTTATATGGTAGTTTTAATAATTTTGTGCATGAAACAAAGTTTGTGTTAAGTACTTAGGTGTGGAATTTTCCACTTGTGGCACTGTATCAATGCTCAAAAACGCTTCAGATTGGGGTGCTCAACCTGTATCATAAAACCTCTAATTACATCTGTCCTTTTAAACCCAGACTTTGACCATGTAGGTCCAACATTTTATACTTGTTCTTTATTTTTCTTTTCTTTTCTTTCTTAAGGGCACAGTAGGTTGGCTTAGGTCCAACTAATGTTCAAATGAAGTGAAAGACTCGCTGCTTTCCACGTGCCTGAAAACCTCCACTCCATCTTGTTCTCAATTGTATTAACGTTCAAAGACCAATGCTTCTTATCAGTGTTTTCATTTTTGTTTTACTATTTTTTATAGTATTAAAAAAAATAAAAGCAAAGGACACTATGGACACTCTAAGAACTGCCAACATGACCTTGCAGACAGGGACGGCACGACTACTGCATCTGAACTTCCGGTGGCAGCAAGGCCAACGGCGAGTGGAAACGTTTGCTCACTGCTGTTTTCACCAATGACCCATTCTGGTGCGGGACACACTGAAGAGGATCAAGGCATAATATATAAAAGTGTAGGCTGGCTTGTCCCAAAGCAGAGCATACGGAAGCTGAGGCTGTAATTGGAGGAGGTGAGTGTGCCCAGATCGGGACAAGGCCCCCGAAGCTAGAGTGTCACGTCTTAGGGCAAAGAACACAGGGCGTGAACAGGTGGGACGGCCCGAGAGCCCCCGCGAAGAGGAAGAGCCCTCAGCCCAGCCTGCGAGCTCTTCCACACCACGCGTCTCTACGCTACGCTGATAGCTGTCACCTGTGAGGAGGGACAGCACGTTGGGAACTGAACCTAGTGAATACTATTAATACTATCTATTTTTTTTTTTTTTTGAGACAGAGTCTCACTCTCTTGCCTGGGGCGAGTACCGTGGCGTCAGCCTAGCTCACAGCAACCTCAAACTCCTGGGCTCAAGCAATCCTACTGTCTCAGCCTCCCAAGTAGCTGGGACCACAGGCACGCGCCACCATGCCCGGCTAATTTTTTCTACATATATTTTTAACTGTCCAATTAATTTCTCTCCATTTTTTGGTAGAGACGGGGTCTTGCTCTTGCTCAGGCTGGTCTCGAACTCCTGAGCTCAGAATGATCCGCCCGCCTCGGCCTCCCAGAGTGCTAGGATTACAGGCGTGAGCCACCGCGCCCGGCCAATACTATCTATTTTTATGCTTAAGCAACTGCACATGACAAACTTTCACCCTCATTTTGGGGTATCTGTTCATTCTCAAATACTATGGTCAACTTAACAAAGTCTGAAATTCAAGAACCAGACAGGCATTGTTACATACAGTTTCTTGAACCGAGTGACCCCACATGACTGAAATAGTAAAAATTCTGACAGGCAAGACCTCTTAGATGCTCCCCTCCTAGAACGAGCCTTCAAAACGCTTGGTTCAATCTGACTGTGTTACATATGACAAAATAGTACCTGAAGAGCAGTGTCATGAAATGCAGCAAAATTGTCTCAAGCCAAAAGAATGTGACTTGGTTTACACTGGATGGAACATGTGATACTGAGATTAAGAAAAATGCTCTTGCATCCGGAAGTTTATAAAAAATCTAAATCCCCGGCAACAGCAATAATACCGTTCATAAAAACTGAAAACCACACCACGAAGCCTAAAAGCCTAAGAGTTAATTCCTCGCATTCCAGTTACAGAAAAGAGCCATAGGAAGCACCCACCCTGTGAGAACTTTCACACGACACAGTGGCATCTCCCAGGACAGACACTCCACAGAGAGGGGCCAAGGGACGGACACGCTACAGGAAGATAAGAGCCTCTTTCCATTACCCCTGTCAGCAGTGGGGCCACGTGGACACCCCAGCTCCCCCTTAACTCGTGAGGACACAAATGTTTACCTGAAGAACGTGACAATCCTGTAGTTGTTATTGATGAACGAGGATTCTGAGTCACAACCCTTGTATATTATCCAGATCATTAACCACAAAACAGGGAACAGACAGGAGTAGCCAGACTTCCACGCAGAAGAGCAGGTTTATAGGGGTCACGTCCACATGCTCGCCACACTACAACTTTAATGGGATTACTAAGCTCCCTTGAGAATGCTTTTGTTTGAGATACTTTCTATAGAGAAGAAACAGAAAGATAAATGCGTCAAAAAGTGGAGACAGAGGTTAGAAGAGAAAAAAGGGCAGTCACCAATGGGTGGTCCAAGTCACCACCGAGTAGGAAGCCAACAGGATGTTCGTTCACTCGATGAAAACTGACAGGGTGCCTATGATGTGACAGCCACGTGGATATCACTGGGCTTTCCAAACAAAACAGACTGGGAGGCCAACAGTGGACAAGTGGAGAAAGGTTTAGTATGGCTAAAGCCTTCTTGGCTAAACAGCCCCTGACCAATCAGCAAGG